TGTGTGTGTGTGTGTATCCTATACTTTGTTCCAAGTTTCTTTAATCGAGTTATCCAAAGCATCATTACTAGTATCTATATAGAAGAAAACAAAAGAATTCGGTGGGGGCGGGAATGAATTATATTTGGAGAAATATTTCGAGGTTAAAACCGCTGCGTCTACAATTAGGTCAACCCATGATGTGCTACCTTGACAGTTTCTTATTTTAATGTAGAAAAGGTTCATATTAGGACCTTCGGACCTTTCGTGTCGGAAACAAGGCAGCGCCTTTTTTCCTGACTCTTTAATGATCAAAGACTCTGTTTTTGTAGCACACTAGGTCTGATACAAGCCAGCATAATGGCTTTCATTTTCTTATTCATCAAAGTTTTTAAGGAACCTCTTAGTAACTAAAAAAAAAAGAAAAGAAAAAAAAAGAGACATAATAATATAATCATTAGCCTACTTCTTTCACCCACGTAATGTTCCTCGTTATCCTAGGAAAAACCTACTTCCTAAAACCATTACTTTTTATGAGGCCAATGTAGTTTACAATTGAACTGAAACAAGGGCGGTTTTTATATATTATTATGGTATGATTTCTTTTTTTTAAACTTGAGAGGCCTTGTCTTTTTACCCGACATTCATAATAGGCTCGAAAGTTACCGTTCTTATAGATTTTGCGAGTCATCAATGAGGACGGTCAGAAATGACCACTTCGGAAAACGTGTTATGTTAATTCCTTTCTTTAATAAAATGTTCCAATAGATTGACGGTGTGCGCTTTGCTCATACCTGTACCTTTGCCATACCCCTAACTATCTAGCAGGCCGTCGCAGGGCAATGCTTGGAGGATTTAAAAACAATTTATGTCTAAACTTCATTTTCCCAATCAGACACCGAGCCTGTGTCATTATGATAGTGCAGCATAGCCACGCAATTCATTGACTATACTGAATAATATTTACAAGGGATGCAGTGTAAGTAAGCCAATAAACAGTGCCTTATTAGACTAGAGAGGTATTGGTGGGAGAGATGTGGGAAAGAAATCAGTTTGTTTTTATGAATGCCGAGCGTTAATGCTGTTTTTGTGTCAACTTTTATAGCATTGTTGACTTATTCATTTTTCTTAAGTTGGTATGTAGAAACGTTAACGATAATAACAGTAACAACAATATAACAACAGTAATAATAACAATGATGATAATAATAATAATAATAATAATAATAATAATAATAATAATAATAATAATAATAATAATAATAATAATAATAATAATAATAATGATAATGATAATGATAATGATAATAATAATACAAATAATAATGTTTGTATAGTGCCTTTCCCTAAAAAATTTCACTTTCAAGACACTTCACAGAATTGTGAAATAAAATCTAACAATATAGGGCTTGTAATACATTGGCAAATAATTTTGACCTCTGAGAAACATTTTCTTTAAAACCTAGATGCAACTCTCACAAATTCTAGATAGATGTCTATATATGCCAATTTTGGGCGATTGAACACTTCTTTTTTTTTCTATACCGATGTTAGCAGTTTTTCCAGAACCATTTCTCCAAAGACCTGTTTGTGTCTGTCTGTGAGCCAAGCACACAACACATCCGGATACAGCCGGCGTGGTTATATGCTTTTCGTCTTAAAATATCGATACCAACACAAACTTTTACGGCTCAATCCTCTGCCAGACACTCTTGTCTCAACTTGTTTCCTGCTTGAGCTAGTAGTTTCTATCGAACAAATGTGTCTGTCTGTCTGTATTTTAAGTGGGTGTCTTTTTCTGATAAGAACCAAGCGAGGAAGTCGTCGAATGCTGGACGTGGTAGGAAGCTCTAATTTCTTTCCGGGGGACTTATATTTTCCCACTTTATTACTCGATCCTTCTGTCTGCAGCATTGCTTCTTACTAACACCATCATGTGCATTTCTCAAATTCAAGGTCCTGTTGTATTTATACTAATGAAAAGGTCGGACTGTTCACTTTACTGAAGTGCACTTTTTCACTTGGTGTATCATTTCTTTGTGAGAAATAATCACATGTCAATGTGCAGCAGCAAGTTACGTTGGGCCGCTTGTGACCACGTTCAGGTTTCCTCTTTTACTCAAATTCTCCTGCTCTAAGCAGGAAGTAAAGCGTCTCACACAAAATCGAGAAAATGGTCACGTGAGACTAATGCATTTTATATTATGTGAAAGCAAACAACACCCGCTAGTCTTTAACTGGGTCTGACGTATTTGGACATTCTCATTTGTTAGTCAAATGCTTTTTTACCTTTTAAACTGTTGTGGGTTTTCGTATGTTTTACTTCTTTTTGTTATCTGAGTACCATTCCCCCAGCAAATGGGTTATTGACAAACATTGGCGAAGCGTCTATATAATCAAACAATCACTGCTTCCCTTCCTAATTTTGAAACATTGCCGAAGTCAAATTCACCCATAGACATAAACCTCATAAATTAAATGTAAACAAAAAGACGCTCAAAATCACCAATGATTAGTAGATTAGTATGCCTAACATTCAAATCGGTTTCATTGTCACAGACAGAAATAGCCTGTTCACCCCTATCGTGTCACTCCATAAGCAGTCGCGAGCTTTGATTATGTAAGCTTACAGTGAGGCTGGAAGAGTCTACCAAAATTGTTGAATGGAACATGTGTGCAACAGTCAAAACTGTTCCATTGCCACATATACCCTGTTCATCCCTTTCGGGCCACAGTTATAATCAGTCACAAGCACTGATTAGGTAAGCGAACTATTACACGGGTCGAGTCTACATCACAGATGTGAGGGGAACTAACTCCAAATAATATCTTGACTGCTGTGAGTGCTTGGTTTTTTTTTCCTCGATTTTTTTCCGTCCTATAATCAGGTCGTGACCTCGATTATGACACCGGCTCCTGGCCGCGAAACGCTAGACAAAAAAAACAGCCAAATGTGAAATGAAAAATTAATAATTGTCATGTTCTACCAAAGAGTTTAGTCTCACTGGTATTGGTATTACATACATGCTTCTTTGCTTTGTGTTAGTGTATTCACATTTAAAGATAAATTTAATGTTTGTTGAAATAAATATTTAATGAGATACTTTCCCGATTATTTTAGCGGTTGAACATGCATACAACAACATGAATTCAGGATTTGTTTTAATTCACGACTCAGTGATGCCGCCTCGAGTAGGATTCGTGTGTGATAGATCTATATCTCCAGGCCCTATCTGGTCCCATCTCAATTTGATTACCCTGTCAAACAAGTCAGCCTTCGCCCCTGTTGACAAATAATGGATATCTTCACGTTCCTTTTTGTATTTCCCATCAGTGTGTCATTTGTATTGCTTTTTCCCCCGAGACAGCTGTACCAACACCTAAAGTACAAGCGTACCATATGTTGTTCTGTTAACGGCTGTTGAAAGGGAACACATGTATGATATGGGATTTCCAGCAGCGGAGGGCTAACGGTCATCATTGTCTTTTTGTTGTTCTTGATATATCCTTCAGGATTTTTTACCTTTAAACTTATACCCTACTAGACACAGTTTAAGCCTTTATATCCTTCTCACAACCCACCCCACCCCTATAAAACCTGTTGAAAGAAATGGAAGAACTCTAACAATTTCGAGACTTTTTGGAATCGAATTTTTTACTTTTATACGGCGGTCACGTCCCAACCCATAAGCATATCAATTTTCGAATTTTCGAATAAAGTAAATTAGAGAAACAAAAATAGGATCTCACATATTCCTATTCATGCTGACTTCTATATCTTCTTTCCCATTTCACAACTAATACGCTACTCTCTTACTCACTTTCAACAGACCACCTCCTTCCTCCCAAACCTACAATTCCCCTCTTTCATCCTACAAACCATTCAGACATTTTTACTTTCTTACCAACATACCCCTTCCATATTCTAATTTTCCAGAGCTTACGCGATCCTTACCCCCACCCCTACACCCCGTTCCACATCCATTGGCCTCTCTTCTTTACTCTTTCCACACTGAGGGTTTTTTAAAATTACCTTTCTCCCACTTTGCCTCCCACTGCCCCTCCCCTTCTTTGCCATAGCCTCACTGCATGGCACCAAAACATCGTTCTTCTGCAACATTTTGAGAAGGCTCCGTGGAGTAAGGATGACAGGTTCGAGGTTGGGATGGGGTTAGCGGGAGGAAGAAAAAAAGAGAGAGCTAGACAGACAGACAGACAGACAGACAGACAGTCAGACGTGTAGATACACACATATATAGAGAAACCTTTAGACAGCTGATTGATAGACATATAATTTGAACTGCATTAATGTCGGAAAAAACATGGTAGCAGGCGAAAAATAGTTGATTAAAACTATGTTTTTTCATTCTTTTATACAAAAATATATCTATCTATCTATCTATCTATCTATCTATCTATCTATCTATCTATCTATCTATCCATATACAAACACTCACGCACATACACAAAAACGTGTATTTCTTTTAAATAATGTATCACAAACACACATACACACACACACACACACACACACACACATAAACACACATACACACATGCATACACTCAGTCATACACACACACACACACACACACACACAAACACACACACATAAACACACACACACATACACACACAAACACACACACACATAAACACCCACACACACACACACACGCACGTATTGGAGCTATTGCCTTCTGTGGCCTTTTATCACTTGAATCTCCCCGCGTGCCCACAGATGAGCAGCCTATAATACTCACCAATAACCAGAGTCATCTTGAGAGTCCGGGACCTTGCCCTCTCGATGTTGCCTATCCCAGATCGACGAAGACCCCCTTGCTCGGCGGGGGTGCCGTCATAGCCGCTGATTCGCATCTCGTCTGTATCCATGATGAAGGTGTGAGGGTAGGGGGCAGGGGTGGGGTCAGGGGGTGTGGGGGGGGGAGTAGAGAGGTTGACAAAATGAGGTTTATATTTTTGGAGCAGGGGGAGGGGTGCGAGAAGGAGCCCAGGGTTCGCGATGAAGGGGGAGGGGTTTGGGGGTGGAAGAAAGGGTCAGGGTGTGTGGGTTAAGGGGAGGTGAAGGGGTTGGGAAAATGGGGTTTACATTTTTCGAGCAGGGTATGGGGGAGGGGGTGTGGGAAGGGGCCAGGGTGTTTAGAGTAGGGGTAGGGGTGGTTGGCAGAGTGAGATTATGAGGGGTAGGGGTGGGTGAAGGAGGGGGGAGCGGATGTATGGTTGTGAGGTGGTGATGGGTTGGGCGGAAGAGATGGAAAGTGAGTCAGGGTGTGTACGGGAAGTAAAGGGGAGGGAAAGGGTTGTGAGTAAAAATGTAGAGCGTTGGGAGTGAGAGGGGAGAAGAGTATGTTGGGAAGTTAAAGGAGAAAGAAAAGTGGAGGGGTGGGAAAAAGAAAGTGGATTAGTTTGAGAGAGAGAGAGAGAGAGAGAGAGAGAGAGAGAGAGAGAGAGAGAGAGAGAAAGAGAGGGGGGGAACAGAGTATAAGGATGGAGTAACTAGGACACGGAGTGTGGAGGGTTAAGTGGGGAGGAGGACGAGCGCAAGGAGGTAGGGGCGTGAGTAGGAGTTGTATAAGGGTAGGAAGAGGATGGGGGAGGGGGCAAATAGTCAAGAGAAAGATATGGATGAGATTGGAAAAAAGAGAGGAGGGGGATAGTGAGTGGGCGGATAGTGAGGATGGGGTTATTGAGAGAGGAAGTAGTGGGGAAGGGATAGTCGTTTGTAGATGAATGGAAGAGGACAGTGACGGAGGAGATAATGGCGAGGAGGGGGTTGTAAAAATTGTCAGATGGTGAAGAGTATAGAGGATAATAATATAGTGAGCAGTGAGTGAATGATGAGGGATTAGAGGCGGGATAGGATTGTGGCAGAGGTGGGACGGGGATGGGGGGATAACGAGTGAGGAGTGCGGCGGAATAAAGAGGGGAACGAAAGAAAAATCATACAGAAATTGTAAGAATATTGAATTATGTATTTTTGTAAGAGTGCTCAGATGTAAAGTGCATTCTGAATACCGCACTTTCAAAGAAACATAGCTTATAGGAATAATGAAGCTAATATTACGAGGAATGTGTTAACAAACCTGCCAAGTGTGTTTACAAATAGTCTATTGATATCAAAGAGGTTCGTTTCCCCTTGTCGCTCTAGGCCCTGGGATGTAAGGATATTTTAAGTCAAGGTTGATAATAATGATCTCAAACAGAAACGTTTACGTGTTTTATGCTTTTTTGCAATGAAGCCGCAGCTTGACAGACTAAGAAAATTCATTAACTATATTGTTGCTGTGCTACAACTGGCTATTTTTTAAAACAGCTCAACATCAAAACACGTTTTATCATAAGTGCCCAAACAAGCAGACAGGTGAAAAGCATTAATCCCAAGATATGGGTCTGTAGTAAAGTGTTCCATTCACAAATACCCGGAACCAACGAGTGCCTGAAACAAATTAGAACACTCACTTCTTTCACTGACTGCGCGAGACATTTTCTATAGCTGACATTAAAGCAAATGTGTATATTATTATTGATAACTGGCTGTCGTTCAATAGCCTCCGAGAAATCGCTACAGTCATTGTGGGCGTTAGCTAATCTACTTGTAGTGAAGAAAAGCATCTTGACAAAATAACCGTCATTTAGTGCTGGGAAAAGAAATATACACAAGAACGCAGCAGTATCTGCTTGTATCGCCTCCACCCCCCCCCCTGAAAATGCACTGTTACGCTCTCAGCAGTAGTATAGTATAGGCACATACTTAGCAATGATAGTGTAGTACGTGTAGTAGTCAACTTTTACTGTTGCCGCTGTCACCTGAAAGTTCACAGTTTGATCACCTGCGACTGTGGTGCAGCATTTAAGCACATTGTCGTCGCACTCAGATGAGCTGGGTTCGATTCCTGAGTAGGGAAATTATTTTTCGAGTACATCGGTATTTCTGCTATTCTCTCAGCCCGGATTGGCGTTGACAGGCAAGGTCGAAGTCCACCTCTTATATGATCTAAATTGTATCGATCGGGGCGTAAAACTCTTATATCAAAAATGGAAAATAAAAATTGTTATATCCACAAAAACCGTCAAATGATTTTTTGTAGAGTTTAACAAAAATGTTTTAAATGTTTCTCGTATTGGCGACAACAAAAGACTCTAGGTTCCCTCTAAATTACCGGACTCTGTTTACTAGGAGGATTTAGCATTGACCGTCATGATCTCTGGATTTTTGATTATTTCGCCTTACGCATCGAGGGTTACAATTTTTGTAGAATGCAACTCCTCAACCGTGACTTCACAGCGTGCTGAACTGCTTTACACAACAATTACTTTTGGGATTTTCATAAACTTGGAATAGAACCGTTAAATGTGCAGTTTAACTTAAATGTAATTTATATTGTAATGTCTAAACTGCGTGAAGTCATGTTTTAAAAGAAAAGAAGGGTTCATTGAATGGATCTTGAAGCGGGGTTAGCTTCAAAGTGAAGTAAGTGTGGTGATATTATTTAAGATTTAGAAAATTTGCTTTCCTTGTATTATTGCTCTCCTTCGTCGTCCCTCAAAAAACCGTTTTAATAAACAAAGCGTTGTTTCACAAGCTGCTTTTCGTGTAAAGTCGGTTTCTTAAACGAAATGAAATATTCGTCCCATCAAAACGTCAAATTCGGCTGCATTAGGCTAATACTGTTCGACAAGCAGCGCGAGGCGCGGGTTTGTTTGGTTGTTGTTGTTTTTTTTTTTGTTTCGGGGGGGGGGGGGGGGTGGAAGGGGGATTGGCGATTCAAAAGATCAAATTTATTGTTTCCATTACAGTTTGCTACGACGTTCACATTGAAAATCAAGACATTAAGCTTTAAAGAATATTTGTAAGAAGGATCTTCCCTAGATTCAACAGGTCCTTTAAACGAAACTAAAACTGAACTTGAGATCTTTAGCTTTCAAACGGTGTAAGCCTTCAAGGAATACACAACAATAGATAAGCACTTCAATGTGTTTTACATCAACTCTAAGTCGACTTTGGAAATCCCTTGTGCAAGCAGAAAGTGGTATAAGCCAAGAGGCTGGGCTCTCAGTTGTTACAGAAAATGTACTTGAGTCTTAAGCTCTAACATCACTTCAAATAACTTTCCTTAGATATATGACATACATACATTTGAAAATCCATAAAACCAAAGTGTGTGGCCACACCATAACTGTAGGAAAACTGCAAAACATTGTAATTGCACTGGGAAACGGGAGGAAGGCTAATCCGCTTATTGAGTTTATCTGCCTAATCTTTCTATGTTGACCACCTGGTTTGTGCTCAGGGGCTAAAAATCAAAATAAGCTAAATCAAATCAATCCCCAGAAGATTTACTGCTATTCTCTTATTATGTACCCACTTATCACAACTCAAAATACTGCTTAGTTCTTTAATTTTAGAAATCTCATTTGACGTCAATGGTTGACGTCCTTAATATATTTCTTCCCACAACCCTTAATTAATTGTTTCTTTGTCTTAAGATTATCTTTTCAGCTTGTTCCCGAGTGGAGAAACGAATACAATCTCATCCTAACAATTGTACTTAAATCGATAATCCAGTTGTCCTTGGAGAATGAATATTATCTTCTATTATCTAAAAGCCGAGGCATTTGAGAAATGAAACCATCATTTTCTTTTTTTAAAAGCAAATGGATATAAGTGATGTGTTCTTCAAATAGCTTCCAAGCACCTATCCTTATCCCAATGTATATCCCCCATAGATTTGATGGAGAGTAAAAACAAAACTACATGAAATCGACGTGGCCAGTGTCTGTCACCTGGATGATAGTCTTCAAATGTAAATCATGTACAGTATTTTCTTCTCTTACTACAGGTCCACCATTTACAACCACAACACCGGATCAACACGACTGAGTAAAAAAAGTTCGTTGGACTGAAAAGCAAATAATTATATTGTGTATATCTAAGCAAAATAACGGATGATAGCTTCGCAAAAGATCTAGGACAATGCCCGGCTCAAACCAATTCTCTGACACCCAAATAAGTAAGACACACCGAAAGAATAGCTAGTCGGCATGGAACACGCGATTATTACTTCTATTTTCATCTTCGGAAATTAAAATGGGTTTTAGAACATTCTTTTTCTTCAGGTGTCAGGTCCGGAGCAGACATTGACGATCATGGCGGCCCACTCTTTCCTGTTGTCTGTCTCCCTGATCCGCTCAGTTTTTGTCACTTCATTATTTGTTGCTTAGGTGTTGAGGCTATGTGTGTATGTTGTTCTTGGTCTTTCCATGTCATTCTTTCCCTCTATCTTTTCACACAGTAGTAGTTTCTCTAGTCTATTTGATCTTTAGTGTGAACAAGGAATAATGTCAGTTATCTTTTTCTGTTGATTCTGATAATAGATCTTTCACATAACCTTCCATTTCCGAATATTACACTTACATAAAACTTCCACTTTAATTTTTTTTATAGCTGAAAAAGCAGGTGTGTCTTTTCAAAGATTAGCGAACTTTCAGAAAAGAGTACATCAACTTTGAATGAAAAATGTAAAATACGGAAAGGGCAAAAAGGTTTGAAAAAGAAAGGGATAGGAAAAAGTAGGAGAGAATTAAAGGCGAAGAAGGCGATCGTGAGATGAATATTAGGCATAAGCAAGTGTCTTATCTCACCTGTTCTTAAACTGGAAAACAGCTTAAACAAAAAAGTATATCTTTAAACAGATTTAGCAAATGAAGCTTTTCTGCTGTTTTCTTAAAACCCTCCACCCTAATGCTTTTCTCTAAAGGAGTTCTTCTAACCAATGTTTGAAAGATCTAACTTTCTAACCTTCCTTTTTTCTGGGAGAAATGCTATTGAGAAAGGTTGCCAAATGATGGCGATCCAAATTGAAACAAGTATGCAGTTTTCCAGGAATCTGAATTGCCGGGTGGGGGAGGGGGGAAACACTTTCTACATGGATGTACTTTAAAAATTGCCCGCGCTCTTGGATTTTGAGTAACTTATGAAGACTTGGTTTGGCTTATCATAGTAGAAGACTGATTGCTTGTAACCCCATCCCCCACCCCCCACCCCTCCGGAGAATCCTTCCTAATCCCCACCTTTATGTTGGATTGTGCCCTATTTCAAAGTCTTTTATGTGCGATTCTTAGATGATAAACCTTTATGTATGCAAAGGGTCTCCAGCCATTCTAGTTTTTTTAAGGATGCTGTGTAAATATTTAGTTGTGTATAACCTTCTTGGTCGCTGCCATTTTTTCCATTTACTCTTCCCGTAAGTTATTGATGAGCTTTTGCTTGACCGTGAACTCAGAACACATTTTGACTTTCGGAGCGATCCCCGTTGGACAGAAATATGATATCCGCACTTGTTAATTCTTTCCTTTCATTATATAAAATTTGCTCGAAATATCCCATTACATCCTGTAGCATCCCCAAGAGGCCAATCTGGTTCATGACCTCGGCATTTCACAAAGTTGGGAAGCCACTTACGGAAAGGAATAGAAGAGACATTTTTTAAAATAATTAGGCGGCAAGCAAGAGTAAGGGAGATAAAAAGAGAAAAGGTGGGGGAAGAGAGAGAGGGAGAGAGAGAGGGGGAAAGAGAGAGAGAGAGAGAGAGAAAGAGGTAGAAAGGGAGAGAAATTTTGAACCATGATAGAATAATAGAGAAAAAGGGAATTATATATTATATGTATATTATAATATAATATATATTTATTCATTTATTTATATGGTGACACTAATGGTGGACCTGTTGAGATAGATTTCACTGAGAACAAGGGGAAACCAAAATTAATGACTTTTTAGTTATGTGAAGCGGAGTCTGAATTTATTAAATGTCATGGCAGCAAAATTGGCACTGCGTCATAACTCAACGGTGGGGCGGCTGTGTGACTGCAAAAATATATCAAACTTTTAAAATCAAGGCGGTTTTCGTCTAGTTTTGAATTCACACGGGTAGCGTCTGAGAATAGGCCTTTGATAATTTATAGCGTGCATAAGTATTAAATGTGACATTAACTTTAATACCCCGTGTAGGAAACCTTCTATAACCAATTCCCCGACCAAGGAGCACATAACAGCAATGGATTCCATTATCCAGCCTATTTGTCGAATTATTGTTGAAGTCTGTGGTATAAGAAAAAGTTTGATAATAATAATAATAACGCGTTGACACTTTTATAGTATACGTCATGTTCTTTTTAGTATTTAAATTATTTAATTTTTTTTGCTCTTCTGTCTTTTCGTTCTTTTTCCTTCATGCGTATTAGATTATTAATACTATGATCTTCACGCCCGCTTTTGGTCCGTCTGAAATAATCCTTACCTTTGCTCTGCCTGGACTTTTTGGAGATGCGGACTAAGATGACACAATACGATGACGTAATGATGACGAGCGGCAGTCCGTAAAGGGCGATAATGCTGAAGAGATTATAGGCCAGCTCGTGCTCTGGAGTGGGGAAGAAGTTGAAGGTGACACACTGCTCAAACCACTTGTACTTGGGGTGTCTTTCCACATGGAATATTATACTCTGGGGAAGATAAGATGGAATATTTTAGGCATTATAATAATATATAACAAAGGTAAAGGGAAACCTCACCCCCCCCCCCCTCATTTGATGTAGATGTTTAACCAGCCAGACTTGAGAGACCATAACACCAAGTACTCAGGCTATAAAGAAAGAGGTAAACCATGCATATATTATTATTATGGTTAGCGTGTTGTGTTTAGATAGAGAGGGAGCGAGAGAGAGAGAGAGAGAGAGAGAGAGAGAGAGAGAGAGAGAGAGAGAGAGACAGACAGACAGACAGACAGACAGACAGACAGACAGACAGATTTTCCCGGGATCGATTTAGAACTTAAAATTCCATCTGTCAGTCAGGACCATTACTGCACACTATTAATGCTCGATCCAGTCAACAAATATCCCACGATCTCGAACGTTCGACTCAGAAAAAAGCCCCTGCCTTTCAGCACGTGAGGCTGAGATCTGTTATTTACAGTTATCACAATGCCAACCGAGTTCTCTACACATGTTGCAGAGGATATAAAAAAGCTAATTATTCCCATTGCGTCTACCTGCAACAAAATTAATAAGTAACTAAGATAGATTATAATTCGTTTCCGAAGCAATGAAGCGGCTCCACTCGGGAAAAGCCGTTTGATCCTCCATTTTATATCCCATGGTTTTCGTCTTTGGTTTAGACATATTGGAGTCCTGGGGTGAGTTGTTACTTCAGGACTGCCGAGCAGATGGCCCTTTCTCCAATTCCCAACGAGGCGATCTGCTCTTGGGTCGTTTTGGGGAAGATTTTAAAAGTCTTCACTCATTAGGCTATGTCCGATTGGAGATGGACATCAAATTCGGAAGTTTTGCTTTTTTTTAAACTTATATTTTTTGCAAGGGCGATAGACCAGTACAATATCGCACTCATTAACCTGTGATTAAGTGGCCTCATGACGCCAATATTGGTCCCGGAGCTACGATAAATTGGTGAATGAACTCTCAATACTTTTTTTTTAATGTCGCCCTAAATACCAACAAAAGAGTACATGGATAGATACATTTGTGTCATGACGCGGTGAAATCAGGCACTCATCAGATGTGGTTTTGTTTTGTTTTTTTGTTTCTGTTTTGTTTTTTGTTGTTTCTTGTTTGTTTGGTTTGTTTTTGTGTTGTTGTTGAGTTTTTTTTGGTTTTTTGTTGTTGCTGTTGTTTGGGGGTTTTTTTGGGGGGGATGATATGGAGTTATTGGTATAACCTTACAGCTTGTTTACCTGTCTTGGTTTGGTGAAAAACATATTCTAAATAGCTGTCCAAATATTTGCGATTGAAGGAGGCAAAATGTTTGAGAACTTGACCGCCAAAGTTTTTGAATTCAAAAGATTGAGAGTCTTTGGAAGCTGCACATGTATTATCTGTTATGCCTTTCGTCAACATTTTCCACTAAACCGAACTCAGAAATGTGGGGGTTTTTAATAGACATAAAAGGCATTAAGATTTTCTCTTTTTTTTCTGAAACCAATAAAAGTTGGCCAACAGTCGGAAAAAATATGTTTCTTTCGTTTCATTATTTTGACATGCGTCTGATTTCACCACGATGCCACACAACTGATGCCCACGATGACACAATGTATTTGCAGCGGTATACCCATCCTTCTGTAGGATTTAGTATCTTAAAAACTATAAGGCTAACCTTGACAGGTAGGCTCCAAATAACCCCTAACCGGAACCATCATAATTGTGTTTGAATTGGCATAGTAGAACATTTAGAGTTATTAATGGAGGAACAGTAGATGAAATACAACCATATAATGTTTCTACTTGATGGAGAGATATAAGACCCGTTCTTTGATTTCTCCACAAAGCAATTAAACAGACATCTTTCGTCTAGACCAAAGTCTCTCTTGAGCAGTCCCCATACTGCTCGGGGCGCCTTTCCTGTGATGTCAGACAGACATGTTAAATTGTAATTGATTTGTTCGAACGACATCCCCACCATCAACGACCATTACAGTCATCAATTATTACTCTGCATTATTTTTAACGACGGTGGCGATCTAAAATAAGTTAAAAGGCAATTAATATAATAGTCTATGAACGTGGATAAAAATAGGGTAGGGCGTACATGTATATATGCATGTGTTGCATTTGACTATTAGGACGACACTAAATTGGAAAGAGAGAGGATAAAGATCAGAAAGACATAAACACAGGCACTTCCAATCAGATAGAGAGAGAGAGAGAGAGAGAGAGAGAGAGAGAGAGAGAGAGAGAGAGAGAGAGATAGGGAAAGAGAGAGAGAGGGGGGGGATGGGGAGAGAAAGAGAGAGAGAGAGAGAGAGAAAGAGAGAGAGACAGACAGACAGACAGACAGACAGAAAGGGACGAGAGAGAAAGAGAGAGGATCTGGGATTGGCTGATAAACCGACAGATAGTCATACAGATATAACAGCTGTTTGTTTTTGTACTATTTCAATATTGGTTTATTTTAATATGTACTCTACGGTGCTTCTAGATAACGAAGCTCTGATATATACGGGCAAATATATAATATGTATTTAACACCTTGTACAATATATATATATATATATATATATATATATATATATATATATATATATATATATATATATGTACACACGTGTGTGTGTGTGTGTGTGTGTGTGTGTGTGTGTGTGTGTGTGTGTGTGTGTGTTTTGGTGCACTGTATATATATATACATATACTACTAAAACGTAATCACTGCTCAATATTATCATACATACATATAGATGTACATATATTCGTATATAATGATATATTTATATACTTATATATGAAGGGAGAAACATCTCGGAGGTTCCGTGTGCAAGTTGCTGATGTTAAAGATCCCCTCATGATCCAAAATCGATAAGACAGCCCCCACTTTGGAAACATTCAAAATTTCTTACCAACTGATGTTTAATGTGTTCCGCGAGCTCATATGACCTTGCTGTTTCTAGTGCCGTACAAGACTTACCAAATCCTTTTTTTTTTTAGATAGATAGATAGATAGATAGATAGATAGATAGATAGATAGATAGATAGATAGATAATTAAATAATTGTAACATAACAAGTTATCAACATATAATATGAGGGTATTAAATATGGATTATATTCGACGTGTTATTGGGTTGAAAGCACATTTTGGGGATGAGATCCTTACAGAAATGGGAAATGATTTTGTGCAAATAAATGAAACACATTGAGCAGAGCACCAATACATTTATTCCATTTTTATTCCTGTATTATGTTTCCATAATTATCTTGCACAATAAATAAAGTTAGGAGTCCTGCACGTATCTTCAGACCTGTCAAGTTTTTTCCCCTCTTTTCTTTTTTTTTAAGACAGGTAAGAAAAGATAAGGTAAGATTGGATAAGATAAGATACGATAAGATAAAATAAGATAAGACAAATCTGTATTGTCCAGATCCTGCTGCACTGGTTTGGAATTTCACCACGTACACACACACACACACACACACACACACACACACACACACACACACACACACACACACACACACACACACACACACACACACATACACACATTCACACAGAAGGGAGAGCGAGTTTGAGGGATTTTGGGGGAGGGTTGGGGATAACGTTTTCACCTTAGCGTCATACATTTGGATGACGCAATTTCCTCATTCTCACTGCTGTAACGACGACATAATAGTTGTGTTAGTTTAACTTTAAATATCTGATCCTATAAGGGGGTTTATAAATGACCTTCCGTTATCACATCTGTCGTTATGAATGGACAGGAAGACAAACGACCCTTCCTCTTATTGGTGTTTCGGTGCTTTTGGAAGAGGTGCAAATTGGAGAGAAATGTCATGCTTTCCATAAAATAAGAGGAATTGAGATTCATTTCGATCTTCGGTGTCGTGAGTGGGTGTGTTTGTGCTGTATTCTTGTAAACATTTAAAATAATACTTTGTAATTTGTTCACGGATTTTCGTTTTTCTCGAATTTGAATTTCACCTCAATAGATAACAATTTTGGTTATGGGTTTTCGATTTTGTGGCGTCAAAAGCTGTTATGCCCATTTTTTCTTTACGGATAAGAGGAGAAGAAAGACAAAAATTGTAATATCTACGTCGTTTAATTTAGCGGTCCTTACATTTATAACAAAATAAGATATGAATGCTAAATAGATTAAAAAGAAGAAAATCTAGATCGGGCAATATACGATCCTTTCATTTTCTCATTTGTGTACGTCATTGTTAGATTGTTTTGCTATATGATCATGTTTCACTTCTTTGCTAAGACGAGAAGATAGCAAAGCCAAAACCAGAAGAGTACAATTTAATTCCTGCCAATTCGAGCTAACTTTCACTGTTTTAACCTTACAAATAATAAGTGATCAATGTAAGGGTGCTTTGAAGAACATAACGACAATCGAATCGAAAGAGAATTCTTGAAAGTATTTCAATTATTATTTTTGCTTTTCCAAAACTATGACGTGACACTTGACAACATGAACTTTCTCTATATCAACAAACATTGAATTTTCATGTTCGTCTTCAATTGTGCCTGTTTCAGGCCTGTAATTTCATTTGTGATCCCTTTGATCTCAAATTTCGAAGATGACGTCCTACCGTCTTTGACAATATTTCAGGAAAAAAAGTTATTAGTGCGAAAAAAATCACCAAGGCGGTTGGCTTAAAAATTACTTCATATATGATTGCAATAGATACATCCGAAGACCTAATGATCTAAACAGGTCCAGCTAGACATCCATTGACAGTGTCATAGTTAGTTGGGAGCGTTCTCAGTTCAGTTTGTAAAGATTTCCAAAGAAATGAACATCATATTGTGTTTATGAATGAGCTCGGAGTCGTTTAATCACCTTTCTTCCATCCAACTTTCTCTCTCTCTTTCTCTCTCTCCCTCTCTCTCTCTCTCTCTCTCTTTCTCTCTTTCTCTCTCTCTC